TGGCGGTATTATAGAATGGCTCATGTAGTTAGAAATATAACCAGGAAATCAGTTAAATCTCTTCAACTAATAGTAAGCAAAACCTGTCATCAGTGTATGACATTCTGAATGCTGAGGATCTACCGAATCCGATGGTGACAAGAAATCATGTTCTTGCTTGACAAACTTGAGAGTACGAGTAGTTTGAAATAGTGATCGTGATATTATATGTATTTTTTCTGAAACTAAATAATCTGACGGTGTGAAGAAACGATTATGTTAAGATCACAATTTATTATCACCAAATATCACAATATATCGATAGAATCAAACAAAAAGGCACATCGTCGTTTCAAAATACACCAGTGAAATGCATTAATTAGTAGTAATTCATTAAGCGAATTTAATGAGTAATTCGTTATAATATAAATACACACCAATAACAATATACAGCTGCTCAAAAAAAATCAACTCATTCCAATATTGGAAGGATTCACTCCATCCACGGATACAAAATAACTTCCTGAATCATCTGAGAAGAAGTGCTCTTGGGCCGTTTTGGTTTCCTAACTGATCATGACGCTGATATGCTGTTTCGTTCAAGAATCCCAGAGTCGATAATGATCACTTACGATAGATTATTTGTTTTTTTGAGTCAATTGCTTTTTTCCAATGAATGGGAACTTCTATTGCTATTGCTTTGCCGCAGGCTGATTCGGTGCAAACACTTACTCTCCCCCTCCCCCCCCTCCCCTCTTCTGGTTTAGGCACGCAGCGATAATCTAAAATGTCCGTTCACAGCGTACCGGACGCACATTCTATTTAGAACTTCGGCGTTGAAGCGTGCTGTACCCCTTCCAGGATATTCAATGAGCGTCGATAAGGAGACGCAAAGATAACACTTCTGGATGAAAGAATGAAGAGGAAATGAAAATCTTGAGAAGTTAATATAAGTACAAATTGAAAATTTTCAACAAGTGAGTGACTTCATAGGGTAATCAGTAGGTATGTTCCTGATTGGGACTGTTCTTGAGGACTCCTTTCGGGGTGCCGTCTTCGTTGAATCTGACCCGATTACGGCTAGTTGGTGGTGAGGATGTAGTTGAGGAGCCGTAGTAAATACCATCATCACGATATTGTGGTGGCTGCGTACTGAAGATCACTGTACCCATTGGAATGCCGAAGCCACCTCAAAATATCATTATGAAACAGTAATCAGGTAATTCAATCAACGCTGAAAACAGCAATATGGATAACAATCTAACAATGATTGAGGAACTCGACTGCTTTTCTCGTCAAAGGGCTAAAAAGAACGGATCCAAAGGGCTAACTGAACAAATGAATGATCACTTACAGCACAGTGGATAGAATGGAGTATCNCTGTTCTTGAGGACTCCTTTCGGGGTGCCGTCTTCGTTGAATCTGACCCGATTACGGCTAGTTGGTGGTGAGGATGTAGTTGAG